AAAAGATTCTGTTGAAGAAACTTATGACAACATTACGTATATGAATATATCTAAATATGTTATTACTAATTTTTTTAATTTTTTAATAATTTACGGAATTTAAATATTTTTAATTGTTGGAGAATTTATAAAATTATAAGCATATATATAAATAATAGATACTAAGAATATTTTCGAAAAACAGATATTAAGAATTTTTGTAGTTTTTTAATTTTTAAAGAAATATATGAAATTATATAAAGAGTATCTGTCGATATCGAAGAAAAAAAAACAATAATTATATCTTCGTACACCAATGATGCAATCGTTAACGGTCTAGTAATTTGTTTACACTGATAAATTATTCAATAATCGCCTTTTTTCGCGCAGAGATATAATGCATGGAATGACATTTACATAAGCAATAAAATCGAAAGAATAAGTTAATAATATATCGCCATTCGCATTGCAATATATCATTACCGTTATGGCGTTAGTCACAACGTAATAGGATAAATTGACAACTTTATTACCACGAAGAAGTAACCGGAACTCGCGTGTCTCTGAGCGATCGTAATTACCAATCGCATAACCAACCGTGTAAATGATTTAGAAGCAGCATCACGTTAGATATTTCTGAATAACTGGAAGTACAATTCGTCTGGAATCTATTATGCGCAATTTGAATTAAGCGATAAAAAAATGATTCGTATATATAGCCTTAAACAACAATAGAACATATGTCTTTAAAATTATGGCAAAAATTATCGAATTGCAGCGAGTGTTGAGGACTTAGGGTTACAGCCTATCTCCGAAGTACTCGATAAATTAGGTTTGCCAAAGGACCCGCCGATGCAGGGTAAAATACCCTCTTTCGATATATCGAGATTAACAGGGGTAGCGCAGAGAGCGCTAGGCTTAAACCTCTTTATTAATTTTTACATCAGCGAGGACGTTAAGGATACTACAAGAAATCGAATGATGGTGAGAATGTGTCTGAAATTTTATTTTATAAATTTTAGCAAAAAAAAAATTGATTCATTCAATTATAGAAAATTCCAGAAAAAAAAATCAAATTTTCAAGGAAATTAAAGAATCATTTTTTTATTCGGAGAAATGGAAAGTTTCTTTTATATGAACATCTAAGATCATTAATTTATAGAATATTATTAAAATCTTTTAAAAGTTTTATGCAATTTTATGTAATTTTCGATATTTTCATAGAGGGAATTAAAAAAAGGAAATTATAGATTTTTACTATATTCTTTTAACATTGAATAATTCAATTAAATATAATTTCTTATCACAATTGAACTGTTTTGGGAAAATACTTCTAATACAAATATTATGCTATTTTCGTGACAATATACAAAAAAAAAAAAGAAGATAAAATTCTTTTAGATAGAGCAAGCATCTCCTGGATTTAGCGAGCGTTACTTACTAGATCCACGGCGATTTCAATTAGAATTGATGGAGTATAGAAAATACATAAAGTCCATGGTCGAACTCGCGGGGGCTGGTAACATGAGCGCGAATTATGCCAACGAGATCATAGAGTTCGGCACGAAACTCGCCAAAGTAAGTATCTTGCTTTATCAAATTATATTTTATGTGTATTAATTTTTTTAATGTATTAAAGACAACACACTCGAAAAATTATTTATCCGGTAATCCTAATATGAAATCGCGCGAGATTGAATAATCAAACATTTCTTACCTTCGATTACTCAACTTCCAATGTGAGGATAATCGTTTCAGGAGCACGTTTAATTGTTTTGAAATCCGTCCAGATCATGGCGACACCCGAGGAACGTCGCAGCGCGGATCATCTCCTTCACGATGTGACGATCGACGAACTGCAACAACTTACAGATCTGCGTTCGCTGCAGGTAGAGCGATATTACTTCTTCCGAAATTCTTATTAATTTATTTCCGAACAAGTATTCATAACTTGCATGGAAAATAAGTAATTTATAATAACTGTTAATAATGTACAATAAATATTTTAAAATAGAATTAAATGCGAAGAGATATTGAGTAAAAGATATCGAGAAATATTCCGAAATATGTAATTCTGATCAAAATTTTAACTTAAAGTTAGATGAAAAGAAGTTTATCATCTTCACGAAATCGTTAACGAATAAAGTAAATTTAAAATTATATGATCAAAAATAATATTAAGAAAGTTAAAATTACTTTGCAACTTAATATCTATCATATACATTGAAAGATTCCTTAATTTTTATATAAAATTATTTCTCATAACTTGAGCTGATGAGATTGTCAATAAAAAGAAGATGAATAATCTCGCTCTTAGTATTCGAGTAATCAAACGCGCAAATGTTATTTCAGTGGAACTGGACAAGGTACCTGGAATCCGTATTCGAGAACACGAATGTCACAATAAATCCGACCGTAGATCGAGTTATCTTAATAGACCTGCAGTATTTGCAGAAATTACCGTTGCTGCTGTCCATCACGCAACCCGCCACGATAGGTATGTCTAATTTACGCGTCCTCGTCAAATCAAGGGCGATTGCCACTCGGAATAATGCACACTCACTCAGCTTGTTACTCATTGCGCCCCGTTGCTTTTGCTTCCATTACGCTCACTAAATGCACGAAAAAGGAGAGCTGCCTATTTGTAACGCGGAAGCATCCCCTTCGAGCGTTTATATATTCAAGTATTTGCACCGACAATGAGTGTTTCTGCTAAAATCTGTCCAATCAAATAATTATATAAAATAATAATATAAAAAACTAACAGAACGAGAGAGACAATAAATAAAAAATCTATTCACCGATAAGAAATATCGCGAGTACTTTTATAAGATATGTGGCAAAGCATTCTTGATTTGAGACTTTCTTGATTACAAGACGCTCGTCCTCCGTTAAGGAAAGAAGAATAATGAACCTCCGCGAGAAGGAAAAAGATGATCAAAAGGTCATAAAGATCGGAAGCTATCGGGCTCTACAGCAAGAAAGCGCATAGTTACAATTGTTTTGTCCGCGTGAAAATTCCTCCACTATAATCTCGCGATGTATTTACGATGATAAAAATGTCCAATCAATTTTTCAGTCCGATACGTCTGGTGGAGCGTGTACTCGACCGTTGCCCCCTTGACGTTACAAAAGTTTCGCGATCTCGGCTTCCAGTTCTCGCAGAAGGTCTTTGGATTGAAAGAAAAGACGCCTCGTTGGAAGGGATGCACTGGAAACGCCAATGCGAACTTCGGCATGGCGCTCAGCTATATTTACGCGCAGAAATACTTCAACGAGCAGGCGCGAGAAAAGGTTTGTAGATAATAATTGTATTCGATATAATTAATATGTAAGACTATATAAAAAATACATAAAAAAAAAGAAGAAAAAATTCACGCGCACTTTACTAGTTATTCAATATTTTCCTAGTAAATATAAAAAATAATATTAATTATTCTGCATAATTGATTATCATTATGCCATTGTCGATAGGCATTGGAGATGTTATCGGATATTAGGGCAGCATTCGATGAGATGGTTACGGAACTGGATTGGATGGATACCGGCACGAGAGCTCGAGCCCATAGAAAATTACACGCGATGAGACCGTTCGTGGGATTTCCCGATTGGATCACGGATCCGAAAGAGTTGGACAAATTTTACGAAGGAGTACGTGTATTTTCTACAAATATCATTTATGATTTTAATTCTACTGTAAATCTTTCGCGCAACGTCCCGATCGTTTTTTAGGTGGAGGTGATCGACGGGAAATTGTTCGAGACTTTTCTAAAACTAACTGATGTGGCGATGAAAAAGAGTTTCAATAATTTGCGCGAAAAACCCGACAGAAGCAGGTGGATATCGACGGGCACGACGGTAAACGCGTTTTATAGCGCCATATTAAATTCAGTCAGTAAGTATCTAAATTAATCTTTCTTTCCCTTAATTGATATAGTCGTTTGTGTCCATAATCATTTTTACAATACTAATTTAATTTAGTTATTCAAATTATGAGTCAAAATTAAGAAAAAAATTTGATTTTAGCTTTTCCAGCTGGTATTTTGCATCCTCCATTTTATGGCAATGGATTGGAGTACGTATAAATTTGTATTTTACAGATAAAAAAAAGAGGTAAAATTTTTATAACTCATATGTCATTTGTGATGATCAGCTTTTTAATTTACGATCTATAATTTTCTCTTTCTCTCTTTAATTGTCCTATATATTGCTCAATAAGATATATAATATCTTATACAGTAATTGCTGAAAACGCACTGTTTTATATTTGATAAACTTTTACTGTACAACTTTTATCTTAATCTATAGAATACAATTCGATTTGTGTCGGATATATTCTTAAACAATGCTCATGAAAATAAAACGATACATCTCTATACAATTTTTATAATTTTTATCATAAATCTCGAAATTCTAATATTACGTATTACAGGTCCATCAATTATGGCGCTATGGGAGCCATCATGGGTCACGAGCTTACGCACGGTTTCGATGATCAAGGTGCGACGATTGTCAACGCGACACGTGTTGCACAATATCACTAAACTGGCTATTCATCCATCTCTCTTTAATACTAAAATACCCGCATATTTATAATAATATCTAGAATTATACGATTTTCTGTGTCAGGTCGCAGGTACGATGAGAATGGCAATCTCCGCCAGTGGTGGAGCGATGAGACATTACGACACTATCACGACAAAGTACAGTGTATGATCGAGCAGTACAGCAGTTATCATTTGCCGGAGTTGGGCGATAATTTCACAGTGAGTATCGAGTAACCCCGTTGCTTGTTGAAAATACCGAAAAGAAAAAGAGTGCCAAGGTGCTTCTCGCTCGACTCGACTCGACTCATTTTCAGGTGAACGGCATCAATACCCAGGGTGAAAATATCGCTGATAACGGCGGCATTAGAGAAGCTTACAGGGCGTATCAAAGGCTGATTGCGCGCAACCCGTATCAGCAAGCTCTGCCTGGTCTCGTCGATTACAGCAACGAGCAGCTGTTCTTCTTGGGTTTCGCTCAGGTAAAAAAAAAAAAAAAAAAAGAGAGCGCTTTTCAAGTCAGCGAAAATAACAATTCGTTTTTATTCCATCAAATAGTTGAGTTTGTAACACTTTTTGGCGAAATAACATATGAGCAGATAACTCTCTGCTGAAAAGGACAAGACAGTTTATATATTAATACCAAACGGATTAATTTAATAGCTAATAAGTTAAGAGTGACAGTCAATACGATACAAAAGAGAAAATATTCTGTACATATTATGCTTAACATTTCGTTATGTTTGAACTTGTTAGATTTAAATCTAATAAGAATTCTTCCTGCCTAAAAAATAGTAATACATATATTCTCGTTTATCAAGAAACATTGAATCTGAAACAATTTACAAGCCAGATTTGCTAAGTCGAACAGTATATTATATAAAAAGGTTTTTCAGGAGCACATTTTTATATGTATGCTTTGAACAACGCGTATAAGCAAAAGATTTATGCCATTTTGGAATCGCTAACATGATGAGATTTCTTGTCAGGCTAATAAAAAAACTTATTTATAAACAAATTTACATGTATCTGGAATGAGCACACGAGCTTTATACGCACATGAAGATTCCATAATTCTCATTAGCATAAGATTTATAAGATCAAAAGTTATGAATATGCTAATCTCTCTTTTAAGGTCTGGTGCGGCAATTACACGAATGGAGCACTAAAGTCCAAGGTGATAGAGGGTGTCCACGCACCGAATCACTTTCGTGTTATCGGTACGCTGTCGAACAACGCGGAATTCGCAAGAGCGTGGAGATGCCAGCTCGGCAGTCCAATGAATCCATCGCACAAGTGTATCTTGTGGTAGATGCTCTATTCGCGTTATTTCGGTACAAAACGACGCAATAACGGCAGAAACTATTATTTCATTCAAGCTGGATATCTATATCGTGAGAGAAGAACAGATGTTTGTGCAGTGATAATTCTAAGAAATTGTAAATAGACTGATTTACAGTTATAGGAACTAGCGAGTAATTTATTACATACTCTTAGACGCTACTCTTAGCCTTAAGCTTATTATGTAAATATCACACGGTAGAGAACAATAACTTTTATAAAGAGACTTCTCTCTCCCATATAATTTTTATTGTGTTATCTTCCTCTTTTTCCTTTTTGGCACGACTTCTTTTTCTGCATTCACTTTTTTCTTTATCTTCCTAAGTGAAACATCTTCAATATCTATCATCGGTAATTTTACTTTGTGCTTTTTGCGAGAGAGAGATGGTTCTTCGAGTTTATCTATCTTCTTCATTTTCTTTGTTGGAGATGTGATTTGTGACACAGCACTATTCTCTTTTCGCTTTTTGCTAAAAGAATTAGCCTTTAATAATTTTTGCTTCTTTTTTGGGTTATCATTAATAGCATCTTCTGTCTGTGATAATCTATCCTTCTTCCTTTTTAAAGCGATAGTTTCTTTCAATTCTGGAATTTTTTTCTTTAGGTTCTGGACTTTGTCTTCTGTAGCTCTCTTTCTTTTATGTTTTATTTTTGACATCTTTTTGGGGGGATTTGTAACTTCCCACTCGCCTTCATGCTCAATAATAACTTCCTGTTTCAGTCTGAGCTTGTTCTTCTCTTTTACTTCCTTGTCTTCTTCTAGTGTAATTTCTTCCTGTTGTACTAAATCTTTATAGGTTTGTGCAAGACAAAGACAAGTAATTCTTGCACCACAATTAACGGTTTGTAGCATATCCAAGCTATGCTTGTTATATTTCCAAAGTTTAATCTCTCCAGAACTGGAGGCACTAACTAACAAGTCATTCATATGTGCGATGCATTTCACTCTCATGCTATGCGCTTTTGTATTCATTGTATGCTCTGAAGTTCTGAGATCACAGAATTTGATTTCTCCGTTCTCAAAACCAATCGCGATTAGGGTATCTTTTAAGAACTCTACGCAAATAACCTTTGAATCAAATGTAAGTTCCTTATCTATGCTAGCCGATTCTACAGAATACACGTAAATATTCCCATTAACAGCTAATAGATATTTGTTACCACTTGGACTCCATTTAATGATTGATATCCACTTAGCGTTAGACTTCAATTTTGGTACTAAGTTAATGGCATAAGCTTGTCTACCTTTGATCAGATTCCATGTTCTAAGCACACCATCTTCTCCAGTAGATAACGCTAGCTTTCCTGTTGGATGAATAGCAAAAGTATTAACAGCCGAACCTTTGTGCGCTGTTAGCCAGTGTTTATCTAGTTGCCAATTGCCACAACGAACAGCACTTATACTTCCATCGCTACTACAGGTAAACAAGTGTGATCCCTCTGGAGTAAATGCTACGCAATTGATAGTATCTGCAAACAAAACATAAAGATTATTATTTTAGTATAAATTTATTTTGTTATGTTATAGATACAAGCATACACGAGTTTATCTATGTACCTTTATGATGCATTAATTTGACAGACTCTTTCCTAGAACGCATATCGTACAAACATACTGTTTCATCGGCACCAGCAGAAGCTAGATAGTATTTACTATTGGAAACACTGCGTATGCTTGCAACATGGCTGTGAGTTGCAAAACTCTTCTCTATGTTATATTCCTGGAAATATAAAAAAAATATTTTAGTTTAAAAGATGGAGTTTAAATTCTGTATTTCTACTTTTGTATTTTGTATATCACCATCGGATACCTGGAGATCGATTAAAAATACTGTATGACGTGTAACCGAATCAAAGTACACGAGGTATCGAAATTTACTTACATTTACGACACTGTGGACCTTATATCCGAGCAGATATTGCTCGTACGTTCCCACTATGATTTCGAAAGGATTCGGCATCTCCGGATCTAAATACATTTTCCTTTTATTTTATTTGTAACTAATTCGTAACGTACCGGTACAAACCATATATTCACACGTGCGCACAAATTAGGATACGGATATTGCGACGTGAAATTCTTCTCTCTCTCTCTCTTTCTCTATTTCCCTCTCCATCGTGAGAGGCTTACTCGTTTAATACCGCCATCTATTTCTATTTTAAAGATCACGTAGAATTACATCTTTCTTTTTCGACACTATCGGTAAAATTACCGTTTGCTATCTGCTCTGACGAGAATATTTTATCTCATATGTAATATATGTTTCACATAGTAAAAATTATGTTTTCAAAATACAATACTCAGCTTTTTTCACGAACTATTCAGTTATCTCAAGGTGCTTTTCTTATTTTAATGACAGAATTATTTAATGATGAAATATTTATACTATTATCACAGCATATAATTATTGCGACAGAGAAATTATGATGCAGGAATTGCAATGTCGCAAAACAGCTGATTTGATCTGGAAAAATCACATTGCATCTGATTTTGCATCCGATACCCAATATATATATATATATATATATATATATATATATATGTAAAAGATATTGCGGGATAAAAAAACATGTTTTTTTTTTATTGTACTTATTTGGACTAAAAGTGTCAAGCTTTTTAAATGTCAAATGATAATACTTTGTTGAAATATTGTAACAAATAAAAATAAATTTTCATATGCGCGACTTTTATATATGTATACAACATACTCTTATATAAAAACAAATATTTTAAATATTAGAAGTATATATTTTAATGTTGATAGTATTTATGATTAAAATACACGTCGCATAGATTAATGCAAGTCATAGAGATAGCGCAAATCGCAAGGATTCTTTTTTTTTTTTTAAAGGAAAGTACAATTCAATCAAGGATGAATAATCACTTTACAAGAGTTTTCGAATAAAAAAAAGAAACAGTTTCAGATTCTTATTAATTTCTTTGCTTTTTTTATTAAAACTGTGTGGATCTGTGAATATATATAGACTTCACCACACATACCAATATGTTGAATAAAATTCATAGCAAACCCAAAATTGAAATACAATGTTAAAAATTTTGAAATGTACGATATAAAAAAGAGATAAAGCTTCCTTCAATGTGATCCATGTTTATTATCTGTAGTATCTATTTTATTATCCATATTTTAATTATCTATATTAATTATCTATAATATATCTATTACACAACAATATAAGTAATTTATTTACTTAGCTTTATATAGATATACTGTACTTGTGTTAAATGCATCGCGTGATGCGGCACATCTACGACACAAATATTTATGTAAGAAGATAAGATATATGATATTTGTGTCTGCGTTTGTCTCTTGACATTACTTCTTCGCTCGAGGTAACGATTCAATTGCTATTCATTTAGTATCACAATTATATTGTATTCGGCTTAAAAGTATTTAGTGTAACCGTTAAAAATGATAGATGCAAAGATCATCGATATCGAAGTGCAGGATATAAGATTTCCGACATCATTACAGCATCATGGAAGCGACGCAATGGTATATATATATATTATTATACAATTTCTATAACGATATATCTGCTATTATGCTAGAAAAACTATAAATATATTCGTAAATATCAAATATATTTATACGCTCACAATAAACAACTAATGCAATTATTATTAATCTATTTATATAACATTAATATTGATTTGACACATATTTCATTCCCGTTTACACATCATTGTTAAAATAATTTTTATTTATAACAGCATACTGATCCTGATTACTCTTGCGCATATGTAACGATCAAAACGGACACAGAATATGAAGGGTATGGCCTTACTTTTACTCTAGGAAGGGGAACTGAAATTGGTATATATTTATTGGTATATATTTATTGGTATATATTTATGTGACTATACCTTAGATATATATGAACTATTTCTTTATTTTATTGATAACAATTTTTATAGTTGTGCTAGCATGTAAATCCTTATTTAAAATCGTTAAAAATCATACAACTAAAGAGATTTATACCAACTTTGCGTCATTCTGGAGAAAGTTGACATGTGACACACAATTGAGATGGGTAACGTATAATGAAAAGTGATGTACATACACATATATCAACTGAAATATGATGACTATATTAAAACATAATTTGAATATCTTAGATCGGACCGGAAAAGGGCGTGATACATTTAGCTACAGCGGCTATCGTAAACGCATTGTGGGATTTATGGGCACGTATCGAAAGCAAACCTGTCTGGAAGCTTCTTACAGACATGTCGCCCGAACAGCTCGTTTCCACTATAGATTTTAGATATATGTGAGCCGAACAACCTTTTTTACATGAAATTACATTTTTGCCTCGACGAAATTTTGAATAAATACGTACATTTCTATGCAGTAGAGATATAGTGACCGAGCAGGAGGCGATAGAAATGCTTGAGAGAAATGCAGTACATAAAAAAATTAAAGAACTCATGCTGAGAGAAAATGGATTTCCCGCGTATACAACTCAGGTCGGATGGCTGGGGTACAGTGATCAACAAGTCGAAGATCTTTGTAAATCGTTCTTGGACCGTGGTTTTAAGGCGTTCAAAATAAAAGTGGGTCAGAATTTGGACGATGACATTAGAAGGTGCGAAATGATACGCAAAGTGATAGGCTATGAGAATAAATTGATGCTGGACGCGAATCAAGTCTGGGAAGTGGGACAGGCGATAGAATGGATGAAAAAATTGGCGAAATACAAACCCTTTTGGATAGAGGAACCGACGTCTCCCGACGATATCTTTGGGCACTCTCAAATAAAAGACGCGTTAAACAATTATAATATCGGAATTGCTAGCGGCGAAATGTGCGCGAATCGCGTTATGTTTAAACAATTTTTGATGTTTGGACTTAACTTTTGTCAAATCGACGCGGCAAGGATTGGCGGGATTAATGAAATTTTGGCCGTATATTTCATGGCAAAAAAATTGAAAGGTAAGTTTGTAAACAATACTTAATTTTTTTTAAGAATTAATATTATAAGAAAATAATTTATGACAAACTTGTAATTAATTTCACTTAAAAAAATAAAAAATATAATGGGATATCTTTTTTATTTATAGTACCAGTATGCCCACACGCTGGTGGAGTAGGTTTGTGCGAAATGGTTCAACATCTTCAAATGTGGGACTATATTTGCTTAAGTCAAACCACTGAAAATCGTATGATAGAATATGTGGATCAACAACACGAACATTTTGAAAATCCTGTCCATATAAGGAATGCCTATTATATGCCGCCTTTGTCCTCTGGATACTCAACTAAATTTAAAAACGAGTGTATCATGGAGTATGCTTATCCAAAAGGTAACTATTGGAAATCCCATGAAACTAAATAAAAAATTTTGAGAAATAAATATCATTGTGAAGAACAAATTTGTAAAAAATTCATATAAACATGTTTATAATTCTTTGTTAAAAACGTTCTGTATATCTATATATATATATGTACATCTTGTAATTCAAATAAATTGTAAAACACATTCACCATATTCTTATAAATAAAATCGTAATATTGTTTTAAATAATTTACAATAAACCTATAGTTTTTGGCAAAGACTTTATAATAACTACTTTATACCTGCAGTTGCATAAAATGCTTCAATTATAAATTTTATAAAATTTTCATATTGCTGCTGATGAAGAGTAACACACAAATAAAACTATAATAATACTCTATATTTATAATTTACTATTTTCCAAGCGAGACTTGACGTAGTCAGTCTGTAAAAAAAGATGACAATGTAATAGCTATTTTTTGTATAGTATTTATTTGTGTATATGTAATAAATCTTCATACTTACACTCACAAACCAATAAGAACTGGGTTTAAACATCATCTTTTTTATAACAGTCATTTTCTCTATTGGAGAAATAACATGTAGATGTAAATGATCAACTGTATTAAATGGTGGCCAATGAAATCCTGTTCGTGTAGATGTAGGATTAAGATTCAATTTTTCTGAGATAATGTCTACTGTAGCAACAATCTTATCAACTGAAATTCAGATACGATTAAAATGATAAGATTTCATCCAATAATTAATATTTTCAAACTGCCTTACAATATATA